CCGTGACCTGCAAGAGTCTTCTTCGAGGCCGGAAGAAGAAGGAAACCGGAACCAGAACAAGAACCGAAACCGGAACCTGGCCGACTGTGACCGACCGAGAAAAATGTAGAAGGGAACCAGAACCGGAACCAGAACTGGAACCAAAACCAACACCACAAGGTCGCGCTACACAACATGGTCGACGCATGGGAGAATACAGCACCTCACGCTCGATCTCGACCTCATCAAACTGCTGATTATCCTCTTCGTTCTCGTCGTCTTCTTTGTCCTTGTCATCGTACGCCGTATCATGCTCGCTCGTTTTGCGCTCGTCTTCCTCGTCGTCACCTCCTCGTCCTCCCCCCTCCCCCTTTTCCTTAGACTCCTCCCCCCTGCTCTTGCTTTTCTCGGGTGGACGTAAAACTCGGGCTCGGGGGAGTCGGGTTAAACCTGACGGGGCCATCATGAGAATGACGAGACCCAATCTGAAATTTGACGCGAGCTCCCGCTGCAGACATCTCACGAAAATTGGACCGTCAAAATCCAGGACGCGCTCGTCAAAAAACGTCCCCCGATTCCCCGCGCACTCGAGTCCCGGCGCATCAAAGCGAGTCCCGGCGCACTCGAGTCTTATGTTTCTCCGATTATCCTCATACCCCTCCTCCGCCTCCCCGTCCTCATCGTCCTTCTCCTCTTCCTCCTCCTCCTCCTCCTCCTCCTCCTCCTCCTCCTCCTCCACGAGGGCTCCGCGATACGTCTACGCGACGAGGCTACGAGGGCGCCGAGAGGGGTACAAGAGGTGGGGCAACGGGGGACCATGAAGGTGACAACCACGTGGCCACGAGGCCATGAGGGGTCATCGCAAGACGAAGCCAGCACGAAGCTAAAATCGGGTGAGGGAGAATCTAGAATGTCTGAGATCCGGCGGCTCTGGAAGATGTCTCGGGCGCCGAGGCCTTCTCAGAGCGCTCCAGAACGCTCTGAGAGCGTTCCGGAACGCTCTGGAACGGATTGATCCTCGTCCTAGCCCCGTCAGGCATCGAGGGCGCCACCGATCTATCTTCCTCCTCGTCCTCATGATCCTTCTTCAGCTCCCTCCTCCTCCTCCTCCTCCTCCTCCTCCTGCGGCTGCTCCTCACCCCTGCAGTCCCGCGGCCCGATGCCGGTTCTCCGATCGAGGAGATTGCGAAACACCGACGGGCGTGACTTCTCCGAGCCGTCGGAGGTGCAGGCCCCAGGCTTCGAGACCGACGGGCGCCTCCCGGGGGCGCGCCTCGGCCTGCATCTCCGGGCGGTCACTGCCACGAGACGCCCTAGGAGACCTATAGAGCGGTCCCCAAGCACCTCTCAAAAAACGCCTCCTCGGCCCTGCCTGGATCCTCGACCCGTCTCCTCCTGAGGAGGACTACGAGACAGGGGGGAGCCGGCTCTGCGGCGGGGGCGTTGACCTGGACTCGGGGATATAGAGCGCCGACATGTCGGCGACTGGCCCCCGATGGCGACACGGCATGCTCCGTGGCGGGGTGGGGTGCCCAAGCCCCGGTCGGCGAGGAGTGGGCGATTGGGGTCGACGCTCCTTCGGGGATGGACAGAACCCCCTTTAGCAAAACGTGGTTTAGTGACAACGACCTGGGGCCCAAACCTGGAGGGCGCAAGCATGGAAAATGACGGCCGCGGCGCCCTCTCGAGAACCGAAAACGGACAATTCACTAATCGACGTGTCACTGTTGGGGGTTCTGTCTAACCCCGACTCCTCCCCTGTCGGGTTGGACGCAGGGGGGAGATGGCAAAAGGGGCGTCGGCGAAGCTCACGCAGCTAGTTCCTCCGGCGCCTCCCGGCGGCGGGGCCGGCGCCAGCTGCGCGCAGCAGATGTCGTCATCCCCTCCTTGCCCTGTTTTCCCCTTTCGCCCGGCCCGACCCTGGGCCAGCTCCACTCCCATGGCTGCCCCTGGCCGGAAGGCCCGGGGCCAAGGTGCCCCCAGCTTCTCGCGCCACCTCCGAAGCCTTGGGGCCCTCTGGGCCTCGTGAGGGGCGCTCCTGGAGGCCATCTGGGCCACCCTGGAACTCCTGGGGACACCCTGGGCCTGGGACACCTCTGGCAACGCCCGAATTGGGGTTGTTGGCGCTCCCCCCCCCCCCCTTTGTAACCTTTTGACCCCGCGCCCCGCGCTGCCACGGGGCGAGGCGGGCAGTGCCCGCCACGCGCCCAGCCGAACGGGGTGAAAATCGAGAGACAGAGGGATAGAGAGGCAGAGAAAAGGAGAGAGAGAGAGAGAGAGAAAAAAACAAAAACAAAAAAAAAAAACAAAAAAAAAAAAACGCGGAGTCTCGGTGGCTCGCCCGCGATGCAATCCTGGCGCTGATATCCACGAGTGTTGTCGTGGCAGCCGCAGTTAGTTGAAGAATAGGCTTACTTGCACGAATAGCCGCGAACACACTCCTTACACGGACCTGCCCAGGGGCTGAAGATTACAGAGCTTACGAAATTCGAGGTGGGGCCACAGTCACTGCCAGCGTCGCAGTCACTTGCGCTGGGGCAAGCCGCCTTGTTGACAGCGGCGTTCGAGGTATTGCTGGCGCCCGTGACGTGACCTGCTTCTGGAGGAGCCCAACATCCTCGAGATCGTCCGCGGCGCGGCAGCCAGCCTCGCCCTCGCGGCACGCGGCCTCGCTGCCCAGCGAGGGAGACACGAGCGCGATCGATGTCTCGCGGGCGCTGGACAGGAATGAGAGCAGGATCGTAGCCGTCTCGAACAAAAATGATACTGGCATTGAGGTGAAGAATGTGGGTGGTGGTGGTGGTGATTTCGGAAGCTTTCTTCCGCAATAGTGGGAAGAAGGGAACCGGAACCAGAACGAAAACTGGAACCAAAACTGGAACCAACAAGCGCCCCAAGAAGACGAACCAGAACCGGAACCAAAAACCAAAACCACAACCGGAACCATAATCGCGAGGACTCATGGAACTAAAGAAGAAGAAAGAAACCGGAACCAAAACCGGAACCTGAACCGGAACTGGAACCATGATTGGGGGTCTTCTTCATGAAGAACCGGAAGAAGAAGGAAGCCCGAACCAGCACCGGAACTGCAACCAAAACCGTCACCTGGGGGGTCTTCTTCGAGACCGAAAAAAATGGCACTGGAACCAAAACCAAAACCGAAACCGGAACCTGGCCGACTGTGACCGACCGAAAAAGAAGAAGGAGACCAGAACCGAAACCAAAACCGGAACCAAAAATCGAAACCAGAACCGTGACCTGAGGAACCTTCCTACACATCCCGCAGAAGCACGAAACTGGAACTGGGACCAGAACCGAAACTAAAACCGCGACCTGGGAGGTCTTCTTCGGGGCCGGAAGAAGAAAAGAAACCGGAAACAGAAACATAACCGGAACCAAAACCGTGACTAGGGGGGTCTTCTTCGAGGCATGAAGAAAAAGGAAACAGGAACAGGAACCATAATTGGAGCCGTGACCAAGGGGGTCTTCTTCAAGACCGGAAGGAAAAGGAAACCGGAACCACAACAGGAACGGTGACCTGGAGGGTCTTTTTCGAGGCTGGAAGAAAAAGGAAACCGGAGCCAGAACTAAAACCGAAACGGGAACCTGTCTGTCTGTGACCGACCAAAAAGGAACCAAAACCAAAACCAGAACCGGAACCAAAACCAAAACCAGAACCGTGACCTGGAGAATCTCCTCCCGCCTTCCGGAAAAAGAGAAACCGGAACCGGAACCAGAACCGGAACCAGAGCTGGAAAAAGGCCAATGCCACGGCAGGACGGGCCCTCAGACTGGAAGTCACGATAATGCTACGAATCGCTGCCGGGTAAATTCTAGTCTCCTCGATCGCAGCCAAAAGCTTACAAACATGCTCGAGCTCGGCGTTGCTCAGATACGCGAAGTGTCGGGGATGAAACCCATCACAGGTTTGCCTGGTTGATTTGGGGAATATTTTGGCTGCTGATCGGATCTGTCCAGGTGCGATGGGCTCCAGCAGGACCTGCTCGCCGACAGCAAGTTGAAATCCAGAAGCTCCCTTTTCACAGGCCCCTACAAAGGAACATTTCCACTGAGGGAAGTGCCCTATTGGGAGACAACCGTTTCAATCGATCGAAGCGTACAAGAACAGATTTCTCGGGATTCCAACTCCACGCATCAAATTGACTGCTGCGTCTTGACGATCCTGAATCGTGTCAGAACACCATTCCTAGTACTTCAGCACCGCGAATCAACGTAACTGTTGCGCCCTGGCAGCCCTGAACCCATCCTCCAAAACGAATGCGCGCGGCGCTGGGGCGAGAGCCACGTTGAAAAAACGACCTGCCCTCAATTCGTGAAGCTCTTGCAATATTTGAAACGAATGTGCGCAGCGCTATGGTTCGGTCGGGCATGTCCTCCTGCAGGCGGAGTTTTGACCAAAACTGAGAACTAGTAAACCAATACACAAAAATGCTCAAAAACAGTCAAATATCGTCCCCTGACGATATATCTACCATTTGTGAACATTCCTCCTATAGAGGGACGTGCCCGACTTAAGGTTATGGCGAGAACCACATTTTGAAAACGACCCGCCCTCAAACCGTGAAGCTCTTGCAACTTGTGAAGACGCATGTGCGCGGCGATCAGACGAGACCCACGTTTTGGAAGTGACCCGCCCACAGTCTGCGAAACTGCTACCAATTTCTAAGCTTCAAGATCATAACTCCCAAGGAAGTCTTAAGCGAAACGCCGGGCCTGCCCTTTCGACCGGCCTCGGGGTGCGACAGGGAGGAATTGTCTAGAAGGAAAGGAAAAGGAATGGGGGACGGTGGATGGAGGAGAAGGAGGAGGAGGAGGAAAAGGAGGAGGAGGAGAAAGAGGAGGAGGAGGAGGAGGAGGAGGAGAAAGGGGAGGAGGAGCGAAGAGGAGGCGGAGGAGGAGGAGGAGGTGGAGGAGGAGCGAGGAGGAGGACAGAGGAGGTGGACAGAGTAGGACATAGCAGCAGGACCGATGAACCTGCGCCCCCTCCCCGCGGGCAGAGCCTGCGCCACCGTCTTCTCCGACGTGCTGCCGCCCCCGCCCTCGCCCGGCCGCAGGCAGCGCACCCTGCCGGCGGCAGACCCCGCGGCCGGTGGGTCGCCAGCGCGCACGATGACCTCGGCCGGCCAGTCGGGCCCATCGTCATCACCGTCGTCGTTCTCGTCCTCATCGTCATCATCATCGTCATCATCGTCGTCTTCTTCGTCATCATCGTCTTCTTCGTCACCGTCGTTCGTCCTCGGCCCACCGTCTTCTTCGTCATCGTCGTCGCCGCCCTCTTCCTCGTACAAGAAGGCGCCTGCTGCCCATAATTCTCATGCTGACGATCTTCCTTGAACTGGGGATGGTCCCAGCGCTGATGCCGCTCCGTTCGATTTCGGCAGGGGCGTTTTCCGCGAGGTTGTGAACGACGATGAGACGGCTCCAGCGAGCAGAGCTGTGGTCAGAAGGGCACTCGGCTGGGCCCTCGCTCCAAAAGAACTGCCAAGGTGAGGAAGTCATCAGCTTCTCCTGCGACGTGGACGGGGCCTCGTCACGGCGGCTGCCTCCATCAACCCCACCCTGGAATTCCTCTTGTCCGCGCTGCTGGACGAGCTAAGGGGTCCGCTTGCGTGTGCACGTGATTGTTTTTGGAAACCCTCCTCCTCCTTCTCATCCTCCTCCTCCTTCTCCTCTTCTCCTCTTCTCCTCCTCCTCCACTTCCTCCTCATCGTCATCATCGTCACTATCATCATCATCCTCTTCATGACCACCACGACCATCACTCTCATAGTCAGCATCAGCACCACAGTCATTATCATCAACAACGCACTCATCATCAGCAACGGCATCCACATCGTTAATAAAAAACACAATTATCAGCTGAATCACAATCAACACCACCATCAACAACACCTCCATTATCATCAACATCATTATCACCAGCAGCAGCATCATACGATTACCATCATCATCATCATCATCATCATCATCATCATCATCATCATCATCCTCATCCTCATCCTCATCCTCATCATCATCATCATCATCCTCATCATCATCATCATCATCATCATCATCATCATCATAATCATCATCATCATCATCGTCATCATTATCTTCATCGTCGTCATCATCAGCAGCAGCAGCACCGCCACCTCCTCACCATTGTTAGCATAATGAGCATCATCATCACCAGCATCGTCATCACAAGAATCGTCATCATCATCATGAACATCGCCATCATCATCATTGACATCATCAGCAGCATTATCGTCAGTATACCAATCATCGTAATCATAATCATCATCACCATCAGCAGCATCATCATCATCCGCATCATCATCATCACCATCATCACCATCATCATCAACATCATCATAGGCACCATCAGTATCCGCATCATCATCGTCGTCATCATCATCACCATCACCACCATCATCATCACCGTCAGCAACAGCATCATCATCAGAATCATTGTCATCATCATTAGTATCATCATCGTAATCATCATTACCAGCATCATCAACATCAGGATCATCACCATCACCGTCATCATCATCAGCATTGTCATTATCATCGCTGTCATCAGCAGCAGCACCACCGCCACGTCCTCCTCTTCCTCCTCCTCCTCTTCCTCCTCATCATCATCGTCACTATCATCATCGTCGTAATCATCATCATCACCAGCATCGTCATCATAATCATCACCATCACCATCACCATCACCATCACCATCACCATCACCATCATCATCATCATCATCATCATCATCGTCATTATCACCATCTCCACTAGCATCATCGTTATCATCCTCATTACCATCACCAACACCAACACCATCATCATCATCATCATCATCATCATCATCATCATCATCATCATCATCATCATCATCAACAACAACAATCATCATAGTCAACGTCCTTATCATCATTGTCAGTGTCATCATCATCGTCATCGTCGTCGTCATCGTGTCCCTTTCACCATCGCGGCGCCCGAAGGCTGCGGCGGAGCGGCGGGGACTTCCAGGTCGGGGCGAGAGGTCACCTCGCGAAAACGCGCGCCGGTGCCGTCCGCTGGAGTCGAGCCCTGCGCAGCCTGCGCAGTCTGGGCGCTGCGCAAGGCTGCTGCTGGTACTGCCGCCGTCGCGGCGGGCAACGAGGCCATGCTTGGATCCTTCCGCCTCCTCCTCCTCCTTCATCTCCTCTTCCTCCTCCTCCTCCTCCACCTGCTCCTCCTCCTCCTCCTCCTCCTTCTCCTCCTCCTCCTCCTCCTCCTTCTGCTCCTCCCTCGGCACCTGTGGCTCTTCGACGCCATCGTCGTCGCCGCTTCGGTCGCCCTCGCCCCAGTCGGACCAGTCGTTGCTGTAGTCGCCGTGGCTGCCGCCACCGCCGCCGTCGGCGTCACGAGGAGGTTTGCGGCCCTGCCGTCGTTCTGCCTGCCTGGGAGGTTCCACACGCAGTGGGCTTTCGCAGGCATGGGTTTGCAAACATAGATTGGACCCCTCCCACACACACATCGGGTTCCACACGCATGGGCTTCCACAAGTGCTGCACAAACGAACTGGTGGGTTCCAGGTGCTGGCGTCAGGTTGCCTTTGTCTCGCTGTTTCCCTGCTGCATCAACTCCTTCCGCCCCTACAACTTCGCCTCATTGCTGATCCTCTCCCACTCATTAGTGCACATCACACGTAGTCATCGTATTTTCCATGTGTGTGCACACCCCACGCGCCACCTTGGACTCACAACTTCCCCTATTTGACGTTTTACCCATCCACCCCACAATGGATCGGGGTTCCCAATCGTACAAGCAGGCATGAGGCTGCACAATTGTATTAGTGTTCATCGCGTCTGGTGTTCTGGAGCGCCCCTGGCACCAGATGTTAAAGCATTCTCCCGCATGGCACAGAATGGCCCTTGCGACAAATACGATGAACGGAAATTATGACGCGAATGCGGGGCCATATCTCTCCAGGTCTTCTCCTCAAGCACCAGAGGGTGAGCTGCACCAATGTGTTTTGTATTATCCCGGTTCATTGCGTGACTTAATTTCTGGGAGGACGCAACACTAGAAACTCAGGAGCACCCCTTTCACCTGTTCTGGCCCTCGGGTTAGCCTTCGCCTTACCAAAGTCCCTAACAAAAGTTGCGTAGCCCTTCACGTTCAAGATGTTAAGCAAGTATGCCGATGCGCCTTCGGATAGCCAACATGTTTATTGACATGCGTTCTCGTAAACCCTATAATCATAGCTGTACAAATGCTTCTTAGTTCTAGCACTTGGAGTTGGCCATTTTCGTCCGAATATTGTAATACTTCGCACATCGCCTCCGAATGTGCATACGGTTTCGTGAATGCGTTTCAGAGTTCCACGTCGATGCGACAGCACGTTACGACACTGCAGTCTTTGGACTAACCCGAACACTGGTGACTAGCTTTGGTGTGCCGACAGCCTTGCTCGCGCTCGTTGGCCTTCAAAACCTGGACCACGCGTGGGTTTACATAATTGGCTCCTGAGACTGTCGAACAGCACTTAAGCTCCACATCTGCGTTCAACATAAGTCCAGACAACACCTTGCCATCCATCAAGTACGGCTGATTGGCCTGAAGCCCAGTATTCCCTTATAGCATGAGGTCTGCGCTACACGGGTGCTCATCTTCGGGCTGTTTGATAGGGCTGCTCGCCGCTCGTGCGCCTAGAATGCCCGGGGCGGAAACCGAACAAACACTGTCCTCGCTACATGTATCGCTCCCGAGCCCATTGCTTCGGTCGGAGGGCCTCGAACGCGTCGACCACGCATGGCACACAGGTCAAATCCAGTGGCTCAACTGCTTGGAAACTTAGCTGGGGCATGTGGTCAACATGGACCTTACAGCCCACCGCTTGAGTCAATGTTCATAGCAACTGCGCTACCGAAGACCGTATAAAAAACCATTACCTTTCAAGACAATTGGCGATCAACGATCTCATGATACCCAGAATCGCAGAAGTGTGTTGAAGCATCTTGCGAAAGTCAGCGCTACCCTCAAGGATCGCTCGAGCCAAGCAGCAGTAGGACAAAGCAGGCTCTGCCTCTCCCCTCCTCCTCCTCCTCCTCCTCTTTCTCCTCCTCCTTCTCCTCGTGCCCCTCCTCCTGCTCCTCCTCTTTCTCCTCCTCCTCCATCTCCTCGTCATCCTCCGCCTCATCCTCTCTTTCCTCCTCCTCCTCCTCCTCCTCCTCCTCCTCCTCATCATCATCATCATCATCATCATCGTCATCATCATCATCATCATCATCATCATCATCATCATCATCATCATCATCATCATCATCATCATCATCATCATCCTGCTCCTCCTCATCCTCCTCTTTTCCTTATTATTATTCGGCGTATTATTAACAGGATTCTTTTTCTTGTAGCATCAGGATTCAGACTCGTATTATTCTTCATCTTATTTTGACTATTAACAAGATTGTCAATATTCTTATTCGCCTGCTTACTTTAACTGATATTACTATTTTCATTGATATTACTAGTAATACTATTATTATCATTCCTCCTGCTCCTCGTGCTCCTCCGCCTCCTCCTCCTCCTCGTGCTCCTCCTCCTCCTCTTCCTCCTCCTCCTCCTCCTCGTGCTCCTCCACTTCCTCCTCCTCCTCCTCCTCCTCATCCTCCTCCTCCTTCTGCTGCTGCTGCTCCTCCCCCCGCCTCACCCCCCCATCCCCCCCCGCAGGGGCCCCGACGCAGCGCAGTTGGCGGTCCGAGCTCCGTCGCCTCGCCGTCGAAGTCAGCTCGTCCTCCACATCGGCCCACGACGTTTCCTGTCGCGCTTGTTCACCACCTCCCTCCTCTTCCCCTCCTCCTCCTCCTCCTCCTCCTCCTCCTCCTCCTCCTCCTCCTCCTCCTCCTCCTCCTCCTCCTCCTCCTCACCCTCCGCGGCGATGATGCGGCCGAGCAAGCGCGCGCTACAGGCGACCGTACCTTCAGCGCCTTCGCGTTGGTAACTTTCCGCGTAGCCGCCGTCGCCCCATGCACTCGTGGCCCAAGCGCACACGCCGTCTTGTCCTCGCTGTCCTCCACCCTGCGCGATCACCGGATTGTTCGCCGTCTCCGTGGTCCTGTTGAGCCTGGCTACGATGTCCTTGCCCGTCGCGTTGGTCGGGATCGGCGTGAGCCTGGCGATGCCGTCCACGAACGCCGCTGCCCCAAAGTCGACCTCTCCCCTCGCCTCGATCAGGGACCGTCGTCTCCAACCACCTGTTGCTGTTGTCCTGCGCCTTCAGCTCCTCGAATGCCTCCTCCACCGTCCCCGGATACGTCGCGACAAAGCCCCGCGGCACGATGCGGCTCCCCATCCCCCCCCCCCTCGTTCGGCGCGAACTCGACCGTGCCGCCAGGCGCCGTGGCCGAGACGCTGAGGTCGCTGAGCAGCCGTGCGAAGTGCGGCTTCTCCGCACTCTGAAGTCGCCCGTCTGCGTGCTCATGCACCAGTGTTCCCAACCGATGGCGCTAAAAACACCCGCTGCATCCCAATTCTGCTGCGCCAGCGATATGTCAGCATCGCGAAGCCGCCGGCACCCCGACTGTAGGGCGAGAAGTGCGGCCGCGCGGTTGCGATGAGGTAGGCCCCCATGCGCCCACAGAGGCCACTCTCCTGGAAGTTGCCCACGCCGAGGTCCGCTGCGTCATGCCTGCGAGAGGTGATCGTGCAGGTAGACCACGCGCTGGAAGTCACCCCTGCCGTTGCCCTTGTCAAGGCCACTCTCGAGTGCGCTCCCCCGACGGCGCGAAGGTTTTCTTGGCCCTCGCATCCTTCAGCAAGTGCCACAAACAATGATCGATGTTCTGCATCTGAGGCGGCTCCGAGTCCACTTGCCCGATGTCCATGCCGACGCAGTCTATCTTCCCGTTGAAGGGCAAGGCAGATCATGAGCATCTCAATGCAAACACTCCATTCGTGTAAAGCCTTGCGTCGAGGGCCCGCCGACAAGAACTCTGAATTGCCTCGAGGTCGTATCGAGCGTCGGTGTGCATCGCGTTATCATGAATCGGGCCCCATCCACAAGGCCATTCGTTTGCAAAAACCACCCGCGCTCGTTGGCCTTCTCCAGCTGCTGCTCCCACGTGGTCTCATTAGCCCGCATCCCTCCTGCGATCCCTGACATGGCCATCCCCTGCCTCCACTCCTGCACCCGCAACGCGCACATCGCGGCCGCGTACGTCTCATCGCCATGGAATTATGTTCGGGGGTCGGCGGAGCGCGAGCTGATGGATAGAGGCTCCGCGCAGGAGGCGAGCTCGCTGCCGGTGACGAAGTCTCCGCAGCATGTCCCGATACCAGTTCACGTAAGCGAACCATTTTACGCTCTCGTGGTTCGTCCCGGCCACGTCGGCGATGAAGATCACCGAGGTCAGCCGCGGCATGTGCCCGCTCAGACAGGGCACGCACTCGCTATTCACGCAAGCTGTCGTACTCCTGCCCAAGCTGCTAAGTCAATGGAAAACACCTCTTGCGCCGCTGACCGAATCCAAGTCGTAATCATTTGGTGCTTGCCGTCGGGTGTCGGGCCCACGTCGACGGCATCCCACTCGGCTGCGATGCTCTCCAAGTTCTCCAACGCTCTGTTGCAGACCTCGCGGCGCTGCGCCCCCCTGGTCATGCATATCATCAGCATGTCCCTGCAAATACGCGCTGGGAGTCCCGAGGTCACCTGGTAGCCCATCCGGTACGCGATGCCGAGCTCCATCGGGCAAAGGCCCCTCAGCTCGGCGCAAGGGAACGGGGTCATGGTGAGCATGAGATCAGGTCTCATCCACATCTGTTTGACGAAAGGGAGGGCCGTAATCGCGATAAGAACGTGATCGATCCAGCTCTGGCTCGTCTCCCCGTGATAGCTGGCGGGCAGCCTGCAGTGAGTATTGGCCGCCGTCAAAAAGTTCGTAACGTCGGCACGTGCGGATATACTCGGTGCCGCCCGAACCTTCCCGCAACCTCATCATCCATGTCGTAGCCGACCTGCGCACTGGAACCTCCCATCACCACTGGCACGTAGCGGTTCCAAGCCTTCTGCCACAGGTCGGTAATCCAGTCCAAAATACGTGTCATAGCCACGTGGCGCTCATCATATGTACCAGACGGAGAGAGATAGACTCCAAATACCATCAGTGGCGTGCTGGCCGTCGCTACCTTCAGCCCGCCCAGGCGACCCGTCACGCCCAGAACCGCTCGTGGGCTGCAGATCTGTCGAATATCCATTCTTGCGAATCTTGCGGCCAACGAGCGTTGTGATCCCGCAGCTCTTGTTTGTGAAACGCCCCCGCCTCCAGCCCCCGATGACAGTGGTTGCAAGTGCGGAACGCCGTCGCGGCCACCTCTGGGCCCGCTCGCTGCTGAGTGCCAGGCAACACGACCAAATCGAAGCTCTTCATCGCCACCGACTGCGGGTTGTAGAGGCCAACAGTCAACATAGCCACCAGCGCAGCGATCTTGCCCATCTCCACCTGTCTGCAGCGGAGGGCTCAAGAGGCCCAGCAGGCAGCGGCGGCGGCCACCATCCCTCGGCGGCGCCGCCCTCTGGCACCGACGCTAGTCCAGGCCGCCAGGCCTGCTATGATCGCCAGAACCCTCCCTGATTGGGAGGTAGCGGCGACTCTCTTGCTCCTCCTCCTCCTCCTCCTCCACCTCCTCCTCCTCCTCCTCTTCCTCCTCGTTCTACTCCTCCTCCTTCTCCGTCTTACACTTCTCCTCCTCCTCCTCCTCCTCCTCCTCCTCCTCCTCCTCCTCCTCCTCTGCTCTCGCGTTCCTTCTCCTCCCCGTCATCCTCCTAAAACTCCTCCGCCTTCTCCACCTCCTCCTCCTCCTCCTCCTCCTCTTCCTCCTCCTCTTCCTTCTCCTCCTCCTCCTCCTCTCCTCCTCCTCCCCCTCCTCCTCCTGCTCTTCCTCCTCCTCCTCCTGCTCCTCAGCCTCCTCCTCATCTGCCTCCTCCTCCTCCTCCTCCTCCTCCTCCTCCTCCTCCTCCTCCTCCTCCTCATGTGTCTCCTCCTCCTCCTCCCTCCCCTTGTATTCCTCTGCCTCCTCCTCCTTCACCACCACTACGTCCTCCTCCTCCTCTTCCTCCTCCTCCTCCTCCTCCTCCTCCCCTCCTCCCCCTCGTCCCCCCCCCCCTCCTCCTCCTCCTGTTTCTGCTCCTTCCCCTCCTCCTCCTCCTCCTCCTCCTCGTCCTCGTCCTCCTCCTCATCCTCCTCCTTCTCCTCGACCTCCTCATCCTCATCATCAGCGTCATGTACCTCATCATCCGCACCGGCATCATCGTCGTCCTCCTCATCATCACCAGCATCAGCATCATCAGCAGCAGTAACAGCATCCTCAATCTCATCCTAATACGTATCCACGTCCGCAAATTTGTCTTCATCATCCTCATGATCAGCCTCCCAATCCACCTCCTCCTCCTCACCCCTCTCATCAGCATCATAATCGTAGTCATCATCATCATCATCATCATCATCATCATCATCATCATCATCATCATCATCATCATCATCATCATCATCATCATCATCATCATCATCATCATCAGCATCACCATCATCGTCATCGTCATCGTCATCGTCATCATCATCAGCATCATCAGCATTAGCATCCTCATCAGCAGCAGCATCATCAGCAGCAGCATCAGAAGCATCATCACCAGCATCATCAATACCAGCAGCAGCAGCAGCAGCAACATCATCGTCATGACCATCAACATAATCACTATCATCCGCATCAGCATCGTCATCATCATCGGCACCACCATAAGCACCATAATCATTAGCATCAGCATCATCATCAGCAGCAGCATCATCAACATAATCATCGTCATCATTAGCATAAGCATCGTCATCAGCATCACCATCATCATCAGCATCATCATCACCAGCAACATCAGCATCAGCATCAGCATCAGCATCAGCATCAGCATCTGCAGTAGCAGGATCATCATAATCAGCATGGGCATCAGCATCAGTACCAGCATCAGCAGCATCAGCACCAGCATCAACATCAGCAGCATCATCTGCATACTCATCATGATAGGCAGTTACCATCAGCCGACACTGCAGCATCATTGTCATCATGAGCAAGATGGTCATCATCAACATCATCAGTAACAGCATCATCGTCACCGGCATCATCACCATCATCTCATCATCGTCCTCACCATCCCCATCGTCATCATCAGCAGCAGCTGCATCAGCAGCCGTATCAACATGATTATCATCAGCAGTATCACCATCCGCAGCATAATCATCAGGATCAGCATCGTCATCAGCATCATCCGCACCATGATCAGCAACATCATCGTCAGCAGCATCATCAAGATCATCGTCATCAGCATCATCCTCCTCGTCATGATCATCCTCGTCGTCATCATCATCAGAATCATCAATATCATCATTACAATAACAGTCAGCATCTTCATCCTCGTCCTCATCCTCCTCCTCCTCATCATCAACATCATCCGCATCGTCACCATCATCAACATCATCATCATCATCATAATCCGAAACAGTCGCATCATCGTCGTCATCATCATCATCCTATGCGTGTTGCACGAGCTTGAGCATGTGGCGGGCTGTAGCGCTCCTGCGGCAAACCATTATATGACCGAAGGAGGCGAGGTGGCCCTCGTCCAGGCGGTAAGCCAGTGCGGAACCAAAAAAACCAGAAGAGAAATTAGATGAACGCACTAACCCGTAAGGGCATGCAATAACTAAGCACCCAGCCAGTTGTGTATGAGGCAGAGAGTGGCTGTAACGAAACAAGCTGGTAATACACAGCGGATGACCCTGAAAGCGGAGGCGAAGTAAACACTAACATGCAACATTAGCGGCATGTGGGTGGCAAGTGTGGCGTACGTCTGGCGAAAGAAGCGCAAGTGATGTAGGGTGGTAGCGTGGCAACCTGAGCGCAGCTGGCATTACACTTCTCCTGCGCGTTATCGTCCCACGCTCCTGCAACTCACCCACCCATGCTGCGCGCTACTGCTTGGAGCGCTGGGGCTGCAGTCTGCGCTGCGCTAAACGAGGGAAACAACATTTGCCTGGGCGCTGTGAAGGTGGACTTCACACAGACAGCAAGCTGTGGGCTGTGGAAAGGATGAGAAGGAGTCATGAAGATTGACAATAAGCTGGGGTGTGGCACGGTAGCTCCATGCATGCCTCGTGTAGAGACTGGGATAAGAAGGAGACGGTGCAGACTGCTGCGAGGCTGCATCAGGGAACTCCTCCCACGTCTCGTTCCCTAACTCCTCCTTCTTCTGGTCGTGCGATCTACCGACTGGGCGGGAACGCCTGGACGCATCAGGAATTAGCCGAACGGAATTGTGGTGTGAATTGATAACTGCTTCACAATGAAGGTGGAGAAATATATTCAGGTGGAGGGAGACTGGATGGGTGCACGGTGGAGATGGTGAGGTGGGATGTTGAACATGTCCATCTGGCCTCAGTGCGCCACCAGTGGCCAGCAGTAGGCCCTCATCCTCACTGGTTGGAGGTGCTCACATCTTGCGACTTTCTATCTGAGGTGAGGCGAATTGGAGAAGAGGGGGTGCATCTAAAGAGAGCCACGACAGGAGGGCGTCGTGAATGGGAGGCCAAGGTGCAGCTGCCCGAGAAGAAAGATGCTGCACCAGCCGGAGCCGACGACAGGACCCGAAAGTCTTCGGCTGAGTGCGACGACCCCTGCGCGGGCCGAAACTCGAACAGCGAGCTCGTGGAGGGCCCCCTGGAGCGAGGATATGCAACATGCAAGCTTGGCACGCAAGGTCTGGACTGGAGTGTGCACCTGCTCGCTGGTGGGGCAAGACGCGGTGGAGCGGAGGCAAGAAACGTGGAAGGGCCTCCCCTGCCACTGCTCTGGCTGGCCTCTTCTGTTTTTTTTTCAATATTTGGCTCGTTCCCCAAACCCTGGCGTTGGTTCCTGACACCGCGGAAATCGTTCAACCTGAAACGATCGCCCGTCTCCGAAACGTCAGATCGCTCAACATTGACCAATTCTGGGTCGATTGCGGCGTCCAACGTTGAACGCCGGCAGCGGAGTCGCCGCCGGTCGACACGACGCGAACCTACCGCACTGGCCTCGTTCCACCAACCCTGGATGTTCCTTCCCTTACCTTCGGCCACCTTCCGCCGGGCGTCCGCCAGTGGAGCCGCCGCCATTTCATTTCCGCCGCCTTCCGCTGCCAGGCGAGGGCCCGCCAAAGGCGAGGCCCTCGCTGTGGTACGCCTGGTGTGTCGTCCCCACTCCTCCTCCACTCCTCCTCCTCCACCACCACTCCTCCTCCTCCTCCTCCTCCTCCGCCTCCTCCTCCTCCTCCTTCCTCCTCCTCCTCCTCCTCCTCCTCCTCCGCCTCCTCCTCCTCCTCCTCCTCCTCCTCCTCCTCCCTCCTCCTCCTCCTTCTTCCCCCTCGGCGCACAGGCCGGTGCGGCAGCATGGCGAGTGCTCCTGGCCCCCGAAGAAGCTGTCGAGACTGAAGCCGCCCTTGCCGTCCTGGGCGCCCACGTGGCTCACGAGCACGGCCTGCGCCGAGACAGAACGCGGGCGGGGACGCGCCCGAAAGAAGCTCGAGGAGCAGACAGGCTAACTCGGAAAAACTGCCTCGCCGAGGCCTACTTGGTGGCGACGACAACACTCCAGACAACGGATCCGCACAATGACCCGGTGCTGCTGCTGCTGCTGCTGCTGCTGCTGCTGCTGCTGCTGAACTTCCTGCTCCACCTCCTCCTCCTCCTCCTCCACCTCCTCCTCCGGTTCCTCCTCCTCCTCCTCCACCTTCTCCTCTTCATCATCATCAGCAGCAGTAACAGCATCAACAACAATAACGACAACAACAACAACAACAACAACAACAATAACAACAATAACAACAATCATTTTACCCGAACGCTCAGTGTTCTCCCCAGTGCCAGGGTTTTCTTGCGACGCGAGACAATACCCCCACTTCGTGGGGGGGCAGTTCAAGCTCTACCAAATATCCAAACGACTCTTCGCGACCACCCAAACCCAGCTTCCCGCCCTATGACGTTGGGACACTTCACTTCGTGGCGTGCGGACGACCGTGGCTACTACACTGGCGTGGGGTACACACCCACAGAACTTGGTCACTTATTCGGGGCGCGCGTGTGCCCAGCATCCTGCAATTGTGACATACAATACATGACACAGACAGACAGAGAGAGAGACAGAGAGCAGACAGAGAGAGAGACAGAGAGAGCGGAGTTGGTCACATTTTTGGGGCAAGTTCCTGAGATCGTCGTGTTTTTTGTTGGTCTTGCGCGCGCGAATGTCCACTTTACTTTTTTTTGCAAGGGAGTATTGAAATTTGATTATGTTAGAACAAGAAAAAGTAGCTCGCGCGAGCTCATGTAACATAAATGTTGAAAAACCATTGGTTTTGTGGGAGTCGGACAGCGCGCGCGGGATGAAATTTGGACATTTTTTTTTGAAAAACCATTGGGTTTTTGATGTTTTTATGTTGAAATCGCTACGAAACCTAAGGTTCTGGAAGGATTTCGTCTTGCGCGCGCGAATGTCCACTTTACCTTATTTTTTGCAAGGGATTATTGAAATTTGATTATGTTAGAACAAGAAAAAGTAGCTCGCGCGAGCTCATGTAACATAAATGTTGAAAAACCATTGGTTTTGTGGGATTCGGACAGCGCGCGCGGAAGGACATTTTGACAATTTTTTCTTAAAAAACCATTGGGTTTTTGATGTTTTTATGTTAAAATCGTTACGAAACCTAAGGTTTTGGAAGGATTTCGTCTTGCGCGCACGAATGTCCACTTTACCTTATTTTTTGCAAGGGATTCTTGCAATTTGATCAAGTAAGAACAAGAATTTTCATTTTATAGTGTTTTTTGCAAGGGAAAACGGATTACAACAAAACAACCGGATCCGGACACAATCCACTTTTCTGAAGCTTTCGCTAGAAAATGAAGGAAATGAGGCTGCGGCCTAGGTTTTGGAGGGGGGTCGCGCACCAGGGGTCTCAACAATAATATTTCTTTAGAAGTAATAATATTCAACAATTACTAGCACGTGGGGACACTCCGTTCTCACCAGTGCCAGGGTTTTCATAGGAGGCGGGCAATACCCCCACTTTGTGGGGGGGCCGGTTCAAGCTCTACCAAATTTCCATACGACTCTTCGCCACCACCCACACCCAGCTTCCCGCCCTATGACGTTCGGACACTTCACTTCGTGGCATGCGGACGACCGTGGCTACTATTCAGGGCCCCGCGGCCGACGACGACGGCGTGCGCGCGCGAAGAAAAAACGAATGTGTCCAATATGGTATTATTTGACAGGGATGATGGCCCTGGCATGCGCGCAACCGTTGTTGCAGAAGTTCGAAGCACGTGAAAAAGTTGCTCGCAAGAGCCCGTTTGACAGAAATGTTGAAAAAATATTGGGTTTCCTCAGAAATCCGCAAGAGCGCGCAAGATGAATTTTTGAAACTTTTTTTTTGAAAAACCATTGGGTTTTTCATGTTTTTATGTTAAAATCGCTACGAAAACTAAGGTTTTGGAAGGATTTCATCTTGCGCGCGCGAGTGTGCACTTCGTGTCATTTTTTCAAAGGATTCTTGAAGTTTGGTTATGTTAGAACAAGAAATTTCATTTTATAGTGTTTTTTGCAAGGGAAAGCGGGCGTCAACAAAACAACCGGATCCGGACACCCACGTTTTGCCTGAGACTTCCTCACGAAAATGATGAAAATGTGGCTGCGGCCTAGGCGCGGCGAGGGGGGCGCGCACCAGGGGTCCCAACAATAATTATTCTTTAGAATAAATAATGTTCAACAACAACAACAACAACAACAACAACAACAACAACAACACAACAACAACAACACAACAACAACAACAATAATCATTTAAGACTGTTCGCCCTTATCTGCTCGAGTGTCGAATAACGCGAATTTCCCAAACCCTCGATACCCGCCCTTTTCGTCTTCGATCGAACCCCTTTTGGGGGGTATACCTTTCTTCCCTGCAGGCCGGGCCCCGGCAAGCGGCGGGGCGGCCGCGGACCGTCGGCCTGGCCAGCGGCAGCGCTGATCGGCGGGGCGGCCGCGGACCGTCGACCCGACCCCAAGAGGGACGGACAGGGGACCGACCACGACGACGACGACGTCGACGACGACGACGTCGACGACGACGACGGCGACGACGACCAGCGAAAGCGAGAGCGAGAGAGAACGACAGCAGAGCCACGAAGGACACGAAGTAGAAGGGCATGCACACGGGGCCACAACGGGCGCGAACGAGCGGGGGCCACGAAGGGCATACGTATGTTGGGCCGCGGAGGGTACGGACGGGGCCACTGAGGGCAGCAACGGGGACACGAAGGGCAGCGAGGGGGCCACGAAGGGCGACAGCGGGGCCACGAAGGGCATGCACATATATGGGGCCACGAAGCAAAGCGAGGGGGCCACGAAGGGCTGCAACGGGGCCACGAAGGGCAGCGAGGGGGCCACGAAGGGCTGCAACGGGGCCACGAAACAAAGCGAGGGGGCCACGAAGGGCTGCAACGGGGCCACGAAGGGCAACGAGGCCACGAGGGGCTGCAACGGGGCCACGAAACAAAGCGAGGGGGCCACGAAGGGCTGCAACGGGGCCACGAAACAAAGCGAGGGGGCCACGAAGGGCTGCAACGGGGCCACGAAGGGCAGCGAGATCCCGATTCCTAGGTAATCTGTGAAGGAGTCCTAAGCGTGAGCGCGACTCCTGGGTGCCTGGGTGTCGGGAGCGCGGCGCTGGAGTAAATTGCAAGAAATTCCAACGCAAGGGCGCTATTCTTCAGTAAATTGCAAGCAAGTCTCCAGCGAGAGCGCGACTCCAGAGCGCAGGAGGAGCGATTCCTGAATAAATCGGAAGGAAGTCCCAAGCGGGAGCGCGATTCTTGAATAAAATGCGAGGAAGTCTCGGGCGGGAGCGGTGGCCCTGGCTAACTTGTGAGGAAGTCTCAGGCGGGAGCCGTTGTTGTTGTAACCCGGGGGCCAGGGGGCCAGTTTGAGCAGGAAGACTGTCCTTGACCAAAAAAAGGTGCGAGCCTCAGGGGGAGCACTTCAATTGAAAAAAATCGATGTGCACTGGTGGGGGGGGATCAACAAAAAATATTCTTTAAGAATGAAAGTTCCACAACAACAACAACACCAACAACAAGACCAGCAAGAACCACAACAACAACCATGACAATAACAATCACAATCACAACAACAACAACAACAACAACAACAACAACAACAACAACAACAACAACAACAATTACTAGCACGTGGGGACACTCCGTTCTCACCAGTGCCAGGGTTTTCATAGGAGGCGGCCAATACCCCCACTTTGTGGGGGGGCCGGTTCAAGCTCTACCAAATTTCCAAACGACTCTTCGCCACCACCCACACCCAGCTTCCCGCCCTATGACGTTCGGACACTTCACTTCGTGGCATGCGACGACCGTGGCTACTATTCAGGGCCCCGCGGCCGACGACGACGGCGTGCGCGCGCGAAGAAAAAACGAATGTGTCCCGCATGGTATTATTTGACAGGGATGATGGCCCTGGCAGGTGCGCAACCGTTGTTGGAGAAGTTCGAAGCACGTGAAAAAGTTGCTCGCAAAAGCCCGTTTGACAGAAATGTTTTAAAAAGTGTTGGGTTTCCTACAAATCCGCAAGAGCGCGCGGGATGAAATTTTGACAATTTTTTTTTGAAAAACCATTGGTTGTTTGATGTTTTTATGTTAAAATCGCTACGAAAACTAAGGTTTTGGAAGGATTTCGTCTTGCGCGCGCGAATGTCCACTTTACCTTATTTGTTGTAAGGGATTCTTGAAGTTTGGTTATGTTAGAACAAGAAATGTCCACTTTAGCTTATTTTTTGCAAGGGGAAGCGGGGGGAACAAAACAACCGGATCCGGACCAACCCGTTTTGCCTGAGACTTCCTCACGAAAATGATGAAAATGTGGCTGCGGCCTAGGCGCGGCGGGGGGGCCGTGCACCAGGGGTCCCAACAATAATTATTCTTTAGAAGTAATAATGTTCAACAACAACAATCACAACCACAACAACAACAACCACAACAGCAGCAGTCGCAACAGCAACAGCAACAGCAACAGCAGCAGCAGCATCATCATCATCAGCAGCATCCTCATCCTCATCCTCATCCTCATCCTCATCATCATCAGCAGCATCAGCATCATCATCATAATCAGCATCATCAGCATCATCCTCAGCATCATCATCACCACCACCATCATCATCTGCATCATCAACACCACCACCACCATCATCATGATCATCATCGTCATCATCATCATCATCGTCATCATCATCATCATTATCATCATCAGCACCAGCATCATCATCATCGTCATCATCGTCGTCATTGACATTACCATCGTTAGCGTCATCATCGTCATCATCATCAGCAGCTGCATCATCATAATCAGCGTCGGCAGCACCATCATCAGCATCATCAGCACCATCATGATCATCAGCATCATCATCAGCATCATCACCA